CCGCCCTCCAAAACTAAGCACTGAAATTCTTATTTTTACCTAAACAGGGCAAAATATCAAAGTAAATACTTCTGTGATGGTGACAATGGAGTTAAACTGGCCAGAGGAGCTTGAGAGATTAGGTATGGACAAGAACTCCAGTCCAAGAACAACTCCTGAGAGAAAACACAGGCCCTATTTCTTCCAAAGGGATTGGCTGAAGAGAATGCAACCTAGGCCATCAGCCAGGGCCATATCCCTTAAAGGAAAGAATAACATCTTTGTTACTTCAGGCCTTAGAATGCTAGCTAGACAGGTAAGGAAGAGTTCCCCTCCCAGGCTGCTCCATTGTGATTGGGGTCTGCAGTCAGGGAGTTCTGTGGGATAGGATAAAATAACAGGTACAGTACAGGGAAAAGATGGTCCAATGTATATGTATGGCCTAGAGAAGGAGGGATCAGAAAAGAATCATAAACTTTTTTTTTTGAGGCTGCTTCTAAAGCCTCTTTTTGAATTTATGATCCTTTAGGGGCCTCAATTTTCATATCTGTAAAGTAAGTAGGATTGGAATACATTTCTTCTAGCTCTAAATCCTATGATCTAAGATTCTTTATTTCATTGTCAGCACTGCACTATGCCTACAGAACCAGGCTCTCACAGATCATTGTGACATTGAGAGGTCACTCAAGTCCTTTTCCAGCATGGTGTGGTCAATGAAGTACTGCATTTGGAGTCGAAAAGGCATAGATTTGAATCCGACCTCTGACTCTTGCTAGCTATGTGTCAGTCACTCAAAATGAAGCGAAACCCATGAAACCTGGAATTAAATTTAACAAATTTATTAAGTCTTCCAGGATGTTTTATTGATGTGACACATTACAACAGCTAGTAGGAGTCTGAGGCAATATTCAAACCCAGATTTTCCTGAAGGAATCATAAACTTTAGCTTTGCTTTTATATCTCATATTTTGTATCTATATCAGTTTCTACCATTTCTTTATGCTAAATTGTATGGTGAGATGCACCAGACATAGCTATGGACAGTACAGAAGTGGCTAAATCCTGAATTCATCATTCAATTGCTGTAATGTATCTCTGCCTCATTGGCTGCCATAGTCTTGAACCAAAAGGCTAATCAGTTATGATTTGGAGCTATGTCAATCTAGAATTAACAAGAGTTCTACATTAGAGTTTTTAAGATCACATAGAGGTACTTTACAATTTACAAACAGGTTGCATTACAAAAGTTTATACATATTAATTGTTTGAAACTTGTTTTTGGAACCCAGGCTGACTCCTAGTCCAAGAATCAATATGCTGTACCTCATTTAGAGTTCTAATCTAGGATATCAATAAACACTTTTTCCTATACCTACAAAAGGAAGAAGGACTTCCCTCCCCTTCCTATTTCTTCTCCCTTCCCTATTCTCACCCCCACCCCCAACTCCAAGCAACTAACTGGTGAGTTGGGAAAATAGAATGCCTCTCAGGAGTAAAGAAATGGATTGAAAGGAAAAGATGATGAGGGTGGAGATAAAGGGCAAAGACAGCTACTTCAAGGGTTAACAGTAAAGAGGTACAGAAGGATGTTTTTCTGTCAGTATAATCCCCAAGAGCAGGGGTGGGGAACCTGTAGTCTTGAGGCCACATATGGCCCTCTAGGTCCCAAAGTACAGCCTTTAATAAAAGGATTTGTTCTGTGAAGTTTAGATTCAGTCAAAGGACCACACTTGAGGACCCAGAAGGCCACATGTGACCTCAAGGCCACAGGTTCCTCACCCCTGCCCTAGAGTCATTTCTAGATCCCAGGTTGGCTCCTCAGTAACTCCCTGGCCTTTCTTCCCATTAGCCAACCAACTCCCTTTCCACTGCCAAGGGTTCAGGCTCTTCCTCAGTGCTGAAGGTTCAGCCCTTACAACCCACCCGTCTTTTTTTAAATTGTAGCCTAAAAGTAAAATTGCTCAGAGGTGCCAAAGGAGTTCAGGTATATAAAAGTAAACAGAATAGATTTCAGGAAAAAAAAATACCCTTAGATATACAGCTATAACAGCAGCAGCAGTAAAACTGAGCTGCACAGCCAAGAAATGTGACTTCACAGAGGATGAGATGGCAGAGTTCAAGGAGGCCTTCCAGCTGTTTGACCCAACAGGGGATGTTAAAACCATATATAGCCAGTGTGGGGGCATGATGTGAGCCCTCAGCCAGAAACCTACCAGTGCTGAGGTGCTCAATGTCTTAGGGAATCCTAAGACTGATGAGATGAAAGTGAAGGTGCTGGACTTTGAATATTTTCTGCCAATGCTTCAGACTGTAGCAAAGAATAAGGACCAGGGCACATATGAAGACTATATTGATACAGAAGGGAACGGCATAGTCATGGGAGCTGAAATACAACATGTCCTCATCACCCCGGGTGAAGTGCTGGTGGCAGGGCATAAAGACAGCAACGGTTGTATCAACTATGAAGAGATAGTCCTAATGGCAATAAATGACTCTAACAACTCCCATTTCCACAAAAGATCCCCCTAACTTTCTTAGTGTTAAAATCATCCTCTTACTCTTAAAGCAACTAACAACATTTTCAGGGTTACCAACAGCCTTACTTCCAACCCCCACCATATATCCTATTTGGCCTATTTGCTCTCTGCTTTCACCAAATAAACTTTCTACCTGCTCCTACACACACACACACACACACACACACACACACACACACACACACACACACACACACACAAAATACCCTTAGGTTATTCTGGACATTTCATCACAGAAGCAAGTTCAGAGGTGAAAGCCAAAGTTCTGAATGAACAGATAGGTCAGGTATTGGTGACAGCCAAAATCAGAACCAAAGTAGAAGGAAGGAGGAGATAATGGGGTTGGAAAGTCAGTAGGAGAGAAAGGAACAGCCTCTGGGATTTATCATTTGTTTCACCAGATCTGCCACCTGTACCAGGCTGAGGAAGCAGCAGAGAGGCAGAGTTGCACAAAGTCATCAGCCTCACTCTCTCTTCCACAGTCAGGAAAGTCCAGTGTCAAGACAAAAGTCAAGATGACTGTTGATGGCTCAGGATGCAGTGGAAGACCTTGGCATCTCTGATGTCTGACCAAGCTCTAAGCACTCCACCGCACCTGCTTCAGCCACCTTCATGGCCACTGGAACAAATTATTCTTATCCATCCATTCCACCAGGTGAAGTCTTCACAGGCTTGGCATGTGAGTCTAAAACAGAATTAATTATCTTTCCTCCCTCCCCAAACCCACCTTACTTTCCCTATTTCTGACTGGAGCATCACCATCTTGGAGGGAGAGAGGAAAATCCTAAGCAAAGGGAAGAAGAGTGCTCAAAGGTACTAGGCTATGCATTTATCAAGTATGTCCATTCCTATGTCACAGTAAGACTAAACTAGATAAAAACAACAGAAAGTTTACAAGGAACAAATTTTCCTTCGAGTAAAAAAAAAGCAGAGGAAATTAAAGTATTTCTTACTTTCTTTAAGTAGCCCAAAGTCAAAATGAACTCATAAAATATTTTTACATAAAAATTAGAATAGGAGAACAATGCTGGTTTATGAAAAAGTATCTCTCGAGAGCTATGTGTCTATATGATAAAGGTCAGAAACTTCAATTTGCAGTGTAATTAATACAATGACTCTTTCATATGAGAGAAATGAGTTTTTCTTCTTTAATTTCAAATCTAATAAATAAATCAGATTCTAGATTCACTACCATCTTCTTAGGAAAAAAATACTAAAGTTACACCAACATGCATTTATGATTTTAAATAGGCAAGATTGGAACAGTGCTGTATGTTAATTTTAAAAAGCATTGTTTCCTAATAACTCTTAAGCAGAAAAAAGCATATGAGTACTGATTGAGTTTCTAATCAATCATTTCCACAGTTCTGCAGCTCATTTCAATTAAGATTGCCTTAACAGATATCTATCACTGTGAATCTGGGCGATTATAGCCAAGTATGATATTCAAAACTGCGGAGATATAATCCTTTTAATGAATAACTATTTTACTTATATTTAGAGATGCTTTTCCTTTTAAAAAAAACTAGCTTGCTTTGTAATTTAAACAGTTCAATATTCAGCATCTATACATTATTATAATTAAGCTAGTCTGTTTCGCTAAATGTTCATTGGGTCCTTATACATGAACACTACTTGTGGAATCAACCTGGCCCCACTGCAACTAGAGCCTTACTTTTGCTCACCTTTCACAGACAATTAATTATTTAAAAGATTGGTCTGCATTAGGAGAAAAAAAAGACATTTACCTTTAACAAGGTGTTTATCATGGTTTTTGCCCCTAATTATTGTCATTTGATAAACTAGGTACTGAATGCATTTTAATCTTTATGGCTTATTTTTTCACACACAAAACACACTTGTATTTTAACTAAGAAAGGCATAATCATGTGCTGATATCCTTTAAATATTGTTAGTTTTCACTTCTTCAAAATTTAAGAAAATTTCACATCCATATTTTTAGTAGGTAACTAATCAACACAAGATATAAAATTATTTTAATAATATTTCATAGGAGTTATTCAGACATTTTAGACAATACAAAGTAACCAATTTTAGATGAGATTATATTGAGGAGAATTATATCAAAGAAAATCCCAATATCCTTTCCAAAAATGTCAAAGGAAAACATTGGACATGACAGAAGTGAAAGACATTGGAGGGGAAAAGTTCTGTATGTTGTGAAAATCATCCCTTTGTTTAGGGAGAAAAGGGAATTCTTTGCCAAATCATTTCTTTTTTAAAGGAACCAATGTACCAATATACAGTGTTGAGTCTATCTCAATACCACTGCTACCCAGGTTTTTACCAAGAAACCTTCCCCTAAAATTAGTAATAAACTACAGAAAAATAATTTCACAACTCAAGGAAATGGTAAAGACAGCAAATAAGATGTTGAATTTCCTATACATCAGAATAATCTAAACTTATCACATTTGTTTTATGCAACTGCTGAACCTCAGAGATTTTTCAAGCTCTCCTTACCTAAAGGAATGTGAAAAGGCCTGCAATCTGCAGGAAGCCAGAGTAAGCATTAAAAAAGAAAGGAAGTTCTGATAAATCTAAAAGGGTTAAATGACCTACAGTAAAAAATGTAATATGTCTTAACTGGGGGAGACAGAGACAGAGATAAATGGGAGAGAGGGAAAGGCAGAGTTAAAGAGAAGGAAGAAGGCTTAAAGGCATATAGTTGACTACTATAAAGCTATGCTTAATTTTGTTTAAAACTGGATTTATCATAATAAAAATCAATAAATTTTAGTCCTTTCAGAGTGAAACAAGAGTACAAAACAGACACACATCCACCCAAAATTATTCAGCCAAGACAATTCTAATTGCAAAACTACTTTTCCTGCAAATGGAAAACATGGAAATTCATGCACTCTGAAGACACTAAAATCTTGCATGCGGACAGAAACACAACAGATTAAAACCAAGCTACCCACCAATTTCAGCACTATTCTAATCTACACATGAGAAAAAATGCAACCAAAAAAGAAAAAGCTATGACACAATTTCATCAAAGTAGCAAGGCGAAGTCCATGGATTTATCTAAAGTACAAGTGCAAATTAAATGACAATGGCTCAAAGTTAGCAAGATTAGACTCTAAGCATGTAGGCAAGTTACAGCTCATAAGTTAATACAGACAAATGACTCATGACAAGCTAAAAATATGCCATGGTATGAACAGGGACGTACTGAAGTCAAGCCACCTACTAACCGTGCGCTTCAGTATAATCTTGCACATCCATTCAATGTTGATATTTCCTCATGATCACAAAAATGCTACTCTGAGTGAAATACTTACTCTGTATTTAACCTACTTAGAAGGGAAACATGAAATTCACAACTATAATTTGGCAGACTGTGAAAATGAGATTACCATTAAAAGGTTAAGAATGTGATGCCTCAAAATATTTTGGTTCAGGTCTCAAAGATGCTGCTCCTTCAAACCAGCAAGATTTAAAAAGTAGAATACTTGCCATCACCACCTAGAACTTTCATACCCTACCTAAAAGTCTTAGGGAAAGTTCACAATCACAATAGTGAAGCCTTAAGATAACACTAGAAGGGACTATTGATAAACTATGGAAAGTGGGGACATACTTTACATCTTCGAGCTTTTTGGTGATGACAGACCCAACAGAAGAAAAAGCAGCTGAGGCCTTCTGTCCAGCCTGAGACAAAGTTTCTGAAGTCTTCTTGTATCTATATTCAATTATAAGAACAGAGCAAAACAAAGATAAGTTCAACAAGACAAACAGAAGGAAATTAATCTTTTCAAATAACTCATTTCAAGTGTGGAGATATCTCAAGTTCAAGAGCATCAATAAAATACACTTTTGAAGTCACACATACATACACACACACACACACACACACACACACACACACACACACACACACACACACACACCCCTTTCCTAACAACCTTCCCCTCACCACATCATGAACCAAGGGGGAAAAAAAGGTCAGTCCATCGACTTTTCAGATCTAGAACTTCTAAGATACCCCAGGAATAGCCATGATAGACCAATGGCCTTGCCAAGGTCACAGTCTAAAGAAACCAAGGCAATCTTAAAGATGACCATATAGCCAACCTAACTTTAACTTTAGGCAAAGGTCAAAACAAAAATGTGTTCTCTGTGTGTGTGTGTGTGTGTGTGTGTGTGTATGTGTGTGTGTGTGTACACTTGGTCTTCTTTTCCTTTTCCCACATAAACCACACTGAAAAGAGAATCCAGTCAAACACCTCAGTGTTTGCTATGGGCAAACGCTTATTTTCTCTTTACCTTAACCAACAGAAAGAACTGGGAATGAGGTAGGTGAGACTAAGTGTTGAAACCTAAATGAAATCTGAGGGTCTAAATGATCTCTGAAAACTATTTACAAGGCTACGATAGAATTAATTTTAAGTCATGAGAGCTAACAAATGTTTGTTAGACTCATGGCTCTCAGGAGAGAATCCTGGTGTGTGGCCCATCTCTATATGACTACAAATGTGAAACTATGTCAAAGACAGCATAGTTTCCAAATCTTTATAAATGACGTTCTCTACTACTTTCACTTACTGTATCATAATCAAAAGGCTATAATGTTAAAGCAAACAAATAGAATTGCTTACAGTTATCAGTTTGGGGAGAAGAGTAAGAGTTGAGATGCAGGAATTATGGCAATGCAATTTCAGAAAAAAAATCTATTTTGTCATGCTGTTGATTAGATGATACATAAAATTACCGCTCACTTCATCAGAAAGGACAGATCCAGGCATAAATACTCATTTGTCTCTGCACTAGGCACAAACAGTATGCCCCTGGGCCTATTTTTCATCTGTTATCTAAGACTAATGAGCAAGAAGAGCAGATTTGGGAAACTGATTCTGTGGCTACACACAGGGATACATAGGTAGAGTTGGAAATGGCTGGGGGAGGGACAGGGGTGCCTTTGCATGTACCCTTCTTATCTCAAAAGCTGAATCAGAATGAAGAAAATGCACTCCCAAGGAGCGAAGGGCGTTAGGAACCTACGCAGATGTGGCTGTCACATCCTGCCAGCCTCTGGCAATGTTCTGCCTTAGTTCCTGTAGTGAATTGATTCCCAGTTTTCTCTTGATCTCAGCTAGATGCTTCTCCTTGGCTGCTAACACTTGAGATAGGGTCTGTATTTCCTCTTCTACCTATAAGAAAGAGGGGGAAATATATAACAAGAATTAAACACAAGTTAGGAACAGAATATGTGCAAAATCTTCTAGATTTTCAAGATTATCTAATTAAAAATTTTTTTTTCATCTAAAGGGATAAGGCCTGGACTTGTGATTTCATTGGTATATAGGGAACTCCCAGAAGAGGAAACTCCCTCTATCAAAGCAACACAGCCCCTTCTCTGCAAATTAGAGTCTTTAAGAGCTGCCCAGAATATTGAGAGCTTAAGCAACTTGAGTAGGGGCCACACCCAATATGCATCAAAGGTATGGATGTGAACCCAAGGCCAGCTCTCCATCCACTGTGTCATGCTGCTTTTTCAGCTATTTTTTTTCTTTTTGACATTAAAAATACTTTTTTGAGATTTAATTACAGTACCTAAGGAAGATTGCTATTAACAGTTATCAAAAATACAGGCAACCTATTAGTCTGGAGGAATGACTGCTCTTTCCCCAAATAGGTCTTTTGATATACAAGGGAAACCAGGCATTTTACCCTAAGATGAAATATCCCAGTTCCACTATTGTGGGAAGCTTGTATGATTAAGAGATTGTTGATAGAGCAAAACCTTGAACTCTACTAGGGCTCAATATGAATCTGCATTATCCTACTGTGTTGCACATAGTCCGAGCATGGTACTGGGATATGATTATAACTTTCAAGGTCATCCACCAGTGGGTAGGGATATTCTTGGGTGAAAGCTAGAGATGTGGAAAAATGAAGGAGAGCTTGCAATAGCATTTCTGACTTTTTTCCTACCTTTCCCCATAGCATCAGGGTCTCATCTTACCCATATTTCCAAAAGACAAGCCTTGAATAATTTCCAGCTAATTTCTAAAGTGATATTCAATTCAATCTTTTGATTATTTTCAATTACTCATATTGCTCATGAAAAATGAGTAATAACTTGACCTCATCTCCTTCTTTCCTGATAACTCCTTATCATCTTATTTCTATTAAACAGAAAAAGAAAAAAAAGTAGAGTATATGAGTTTGGTGCATAGTGTTGTGAGAGAAAGCTACTTTTCTGAAGTCTGAGAAATCCTTAGATGGTATTAGTGAAGCACTTATCTTTCACCTGGTCCAAATCTCTTTGCTCTTTTACTCTGCACACAACCCAGTAGTGTTCTTACTTGGTTTAGAGATTCAGAAACCAGACACGGGCTTAAGATTTTTGGTTTCTAGTGTGTCACATGGCTTAATTCTTAAGGATCTAGATTTCTCCAGCTATAAAAATACCAGATGACTACATGGAACTTTATGAAATACTTACCTGATTTATGTTATATGCAACCAGGATTAGATGTAAAGTAAATAAATTTGCTCTCACAAGAAGGCCAAGCAGAGTCCCATGATGCTAGAGCACTGGGCAGAGTCCAAGGGGTCACACACCATCAATATTTTTTTGACCTTTATCTCCTCAGCTGGAAAAATGGAGATTGCCCCACAAGCCCTTAGGAAAGCCTGGAATTACCCTCTGGATAATCCAACACTATATCTGAATTTTCAAAAAAGTTCTTAGTATAAAAATTCATCATAGTTTAAAAGGTAGAACATGATTTAAAAAAAAAAATTAAGACCGTCTCCCTGTGTTGACTAGGCTGGAAGCACATAGACTATTCACAGTCCCTATCACACTAATGTTCGATCAAGCAGCTTTAACTTGTTCCATTTCTGACCTAGACCAGTTTGTCCCCTGTGGGTACCCTAAGTACCCCCCTGAGAAATCTAAAATAGAAAGGTTCAATATACACCAAAATATTTATAGTGGCACTTTTATAGTAATAAAAGAACTGGGGGGAAATGGATGTCTATTGATTGAGAAATGGCTAAAAATATCATGATAGATGAATTTAATGGAATATTATGGTAGTATAAGAAATGATACATATAGAGATATAAAAAACCTTATAAACTAATACAAAATGAAGTAATAGAAGCAGGAAAATTATATGCATAAAATAAATTTTAAAAGTAGGTGGAGAACCAAAAGGGCATTCTGTCTTTAAGGTCAAAGAGAGACAGAATTATCTAGCAGAAGCTATAGAGATGTCAGAGGGCAAGTACTGGAAAAGACTGTTGGATTACAACAATGTGAATGGGATAAAACAATCAAAATTGAATGCTGCAAAATTATAATAACAAGGTTGCCCCTAAAGAAGAAAAATAAAAAGGCTCCTTCCCATACTTTTTTACAAAGGTGGAAGACTATAATTGTTGAACATGGCATATAAGGCCAGACTTTTTTTTTAAATCAAGTTTTGTTGAACTGATTTTTTTTTGCTCCTTTTTAGCTTCATTATAAGTGGTAGCTCTCTGGGAAGACAAATGCGAAAGAATACACTGGGAAATGCAGGTGATGTAAAAACAAAAGATATCCAACAAAATTTTTTTTAAAAATTGTTAGGCAATAGGGCATTCTTTGAGATTTTTGAGTTAAGGTGGTGGCAGAGGGAAGAGAGAAGAGAAGACAGACACAAGAGATGCGGTGGAGGCAGCATAGACTAGGATTTTGTTTTGTTTTGTTTTGTAGGCAATTGGGGTTAAGTGACTGGCGCGGGGTCACACAGCTAGTAACGTGACAAGTGTTTGGTATGAGGCTGGATTTGAACTCAGGTCCTCCTAACTTCAGGGCTGGTGCTCTATCAACTGCTCCATCTAGTTGCCCCCAGAATAGACTAGGATTGGTAAATGATGAGACTTTCCATCTCCTGACTCTATGCATTTTTTCTGGGTGTCCTCCAAGCTTAGAATTTTCTCCCTCCACATCTCCACCTCCTGCCTTCCCTAGCATCTTTCAAGACTCAACTAAAATTCTACCTTCTACAAGAAGTCTTTCTCAATCCCCTTTAATGCTAGTGCCTTCCCCTTAAGATTTTCTCCAATTTATCCTATATATAACTTGTTAGTACACATTGTCCTTTAGACTGTGAGCTCCTGGAGAACAGGAACTGTCTTTTGCCTCTCTTTGCATCCCCAGTACTTAGCACAATACCTGGCACATGGTAGGCACTGAATAAATATATGTTGACTGACTGGCTACAGGGAACTGAGGAAGATAAGAAGAGTCAAAGATAAGTTTTTAGCATGATGCCTGGCACACTGTTGCCTGACTACACAAAACTGAGGAAGATAAGAAGGTGAAAGATAATTTTAAAGTTTTTCATCAGGAGACTAAGCAAATAGCAATGCCACAGACAAAAACAATGAGGTTAGAAAGATGAACAAGTTTAGAGAGACAGATAACAAGCTGTTTTGAACAGAAGATCACAAATCTAGAGCTGGAAGAAATCTCAGGCCTTCTGGTCTAACTCCTTCATCTTACAGACTAAACCTCATAGAGGTTGATTTTCCCAAGGTCACACAATTAAGTCTCAGAAACATTATTTGAACCCAAGTCCTTTGACCTCCAAAGTCAACATTTTCCCACTGTTCCATGCTGCCTATCCTATGTTAAGCTTAAGTGCCAATGGGACATCCAGATGACGATGTCCTATAGACAGAATTGTGCCAACAGCTCAGAAAAGAGGTGAGGGATATAGATGCAGATGTAGATTACCAGCTTCAAAGAGGTGGTTAGTTAATACCATGGAAGTGAATGAGATTGCTAAAGGAAAGAATATGAAGATAAAAGATGACCAAGAACAGACTTCTGAGGAATACTCACTATAAGAGGAAAGGCAGTAGAGTAACCAGAAAAGGAGAGAGAAGAAAAGTAACTGGAAAAGCAAGTGGAGGACCAAAAGAGCTTCTGTCTTTGAAGCCAAAGAGAGACAAAGTATCTAGCAGAAGCTACAGAAGCCTTGGAGACCATGTATTAGAAAAGGCTGTTGGTGACCTTCAAAAAAGAGTGATTTTGAAAGAATGGATAGAGGGCTCCACGAAAATAGAAAGGCCAAAAGGAAAGTGGGTAGTTAAGAAGCAGAAGGAATGGGTGTAGAAAACATTTTAAAAGTTTGGCAACAAAGGGTAAAAAACCTGAAACAGTTGCCAGATTGAATAGAAAGGTCAAGAGAAGGTTTTTTTTTTTCTTTTAGGACCAGGAAGAACTGAGCATGTTAGCAGGCATGTTTTCCACTTATTAATTCTGGCAGTTTCTTAGCTTGTCCCTACTAATCTTGACTACAGCCACATTGATGCCAGATAAGTGTAAAATTGGGGCAGCACTCTTTTTAAAAAGATTCTTGACTTTGCCTCTGCAAGCTGCAGGGTTGAGCAAGATAGTTGCCTTCTTTACTTGTTCATGAGGAAGAATAAACTGTTTTCCAAAAGAAAGGGCTTGACAGGCTGCTCTCTACTGCAGTTTATCACAACAGGAAATTCTTCCTGTTATCTAGCTTAAACTCCCCAGGCTGTCTTTTATATGTCTGTGATGCACCTACTACCACCTTCAGTAGGTACACCAGCACACACTGGGGAAACATTCCCAACGGTTCTTCCCCTTCCTAGATGATAGGTGAATGTGAAAGCTGTCCTAGGGTGTGCCCATACACCTACCAACACTCTATGTATGCCTTTGAAGGGAACAGAAAAGAAGTGAGACTGAAGATAACACGAAATCAGGGGTGACAGGTGGAAAGTCTTAGAGGAAGCAAGGAAAAATGGGATCAAGGACACAGGCAGAAAGAATTAATTTTAGTAAAGGGGAATGATCTTTTTTCTTCTGGAATCATAGGGAAGAGGGTGAAAGTGAGGCATGATGCTAAAAATGTTGATGAATGGAGGAAGGGAGCTCACATAAAACAGTCTCAATCTTTTCAGTGAATTACGAAGCTAGGTCATCTGTTGAAATGGTGGAGGGTCGAGGTACTGCTGCAGGTAAAAAATGATAAAGGAAAAGATTCCGAACAGGTGCTGTGGGTGACCAGGAAGGGAGCGAATGAGGTGAAAAGGAGAATTTTTGAGTAGCCATTGCTATCTACCCAAGATTATTTACCATAAATTTGTAGTTGGTGAAAATAATTCAGTTCTATTCTGGTGATGCTGGAGAAAACTTTTGAGAGTCTCTTGGACAGCAAGGAGATCAAATCAGTCAATACTTAAATTAATTCAGACTATTCACTGGAAAATCAAAATACTGAAGCTGAAGCTTAAATAATTTGGCCATATAATGAGAAGACAGGTCTCATTAGAAAAGACTCTGATGCTGGGAAAGATCGAAGGCAAAAGGAAAAGGTGATGGCAGAGGATGAAATGGAGAGATAGTGCCCTGGAAGCAACAAACATGAGTGTGGACAGACTTCAGGAGACAGTGGAGGATAGAAGGGCCTGGCATGCTATGGTCCATGGGGTCATGAAGAGTCAGACCTGACTGAGCAACTAAACGACAACAATAACAACATAGACAAAGACACTTTGAAAAGCTACAAATACCAAACAAGGCATTGGAGGCTTTTAAAAATTCAATTAAAGGATAATAATAACATGTTATCTATATTAAATTCTTCATATTTTCAAACTAATTCTGGTAGGCCTCACCACCAATGTATCTTTTCCTGCTTTGAAAGTGACAAAGTTAAATTTGGGGATTTGAAGGGAACAGTCGGTGACTTAGATACATCAATCTGTTCTCTGGTTTGTCCTACTTCTGATCTTTCTCTTACTGATCTCCCACAGGTTTCACACACTTTATCGTTATCTACTGTGAGTTTTTAAATGAGAAAGTTAACTAACTTCTTTTGTAAGATTCAAATGACATGACAGTGCCTCCAAAAGACAGGCAATAGCATATGCCTCACGAAAACATCTACTAAAAGATATAAAAAATTACAAGGTGGTAGTCCAAAGAAACAATGACAATGTTTCTAAAGCATTACATTGAAAAAGTTATATAAGCGGACATGCATGAACTTTCTCACCAGCATGCATTTGCTAACACTGTTCCCCCTGCCTGGAATGTCCTAGTTCCTAGCCTCTCTAGATTTCTCTCAAAGTCCACCTCAATTGCAATCCATCCTCCAAAGCCTATTTAAGTGTTATCTCCTCCATTAAGTCTTCCCTGATTATGCCTAGCAGGAACTGATCTATGTATGTTCACATGCGCACGTATATCTCTCTGCATATGTGTGCATGTGCCTCTGTGTGTGCATAAGTCTCTGTATGCACACGTGCCATCTCTATGCATGTCTGTCTCTCAGTCTCTGTGTAGATCTGACTCTGTGTGTATGTATATCTAACTTCTCTGTATGTTGGGTCTGTCTCTGACAATTTTTATTTCTGTGTCTGTGTGTGTTTGTCTATATTTCTTTCTCAGTGTTTGTCTGTGTGGGGAGTATGCCTCTCCTTCTACTGTCTTTTGGTTATTCTGAGTCCATCTCTTGTTCTGTCAGATTCTCTCTCTCTCTCTCTCTCTCTCTCTCCTCCACCCCCCCAAAAAAAATCATAATACTGTTTGTATTTCCTGTGTGACATTTTCACATTGTACTTTGTACAGTGGTTGTGACAACATGTTTATGCGTTATTGCACCTAGACTGTAAAGTCTGCGAGGGCAGAGACTGTGTTGTATGCATCTGTATCCTTCAGAGTATGACTGAATGTAATAGGTACTCACTAAACATTTGATGAGTAAATTAATAGGTAGATAAACTGGGCATGTGCAGAAATTTTTTTAAAAATTTGTGCTAGACTCTTAAAATATTTTCCTGATGTCTAACTAAGTTCTACATCATGTGACCCTATCTTCCCAGGACAATGCTGAGGACTGACTATTTTTTTGCTTTTTGGTGAGGCAGTCGAGGTTAAGTGACTTGCCCAGGGTCCCACAGCTAGTAAGCGTCAAGTCGTCTGAGGCCGCATTTGAACTCAGGTCCTCCTGACTCCAAGGCTAGAGCTCTATCCACTGGGCCACCTAGCTGCCTCTAAGATTGACTTTTTATTTTTATTTATTTTTGTTTGTTTGTTTTGTTTATTTACTTGTTTGTTGGGGTGGGGATGACTGCACGGTTCTAGAAAACTAGTTTGATTTTGATTAAATGTTGCATTTTTTAAACAGTTGCTTTGGTTTATGGAGCCCTTTTCTAACATATCAAGGCTAGTATAATTTTAGTATCATCCCACATTCTTAATAAATGCCAGCTGATGTAAGCACCTGTCTTTCCTCGTATCTTTTTTATTTCATATTCTTAGTGCTAGGGAGCATCCTAAGAGTTCATATTGCCTGACCTCCTTGCTTTACAGCTGAGAAAACTTAATACCAGAGAGGTTGTGCCTTGAATGACAAGGTAACACAGGAAATAACCAGCAGGGGTTAGATTTGAAAGCAGTCCTTTGATCCCCCAAATCCACTATTCATCCATATATTCCACACTACTTACAGGTGAGTTGCTATTGTCCATGACAACTTTTAACACTTCCATACTTTTTTTTTAACATGACTAATGTAGAAATGTATTTTGTATGATTTCATATTTGTAATGGGTTTTATATTTCTTGTCTTATCTATAGCTTGAAGGAGGTCAGAAGGAGAGAAACTAGAACTGAAAATAAAATAAAATTGAATTAAAAAACACTTTGATTATTTCATCACTGTGGGTATTACCTCCCAGAGCAAATGGTCTTAAAGGATTGCTGTGGTGGAATTAAAAAAAAATCATCACCTCATAGCCAATTTTCTGGTATATATCAAGACAGCTCTCATTTATTAGAACCTTCCATGCACAATGTCTTTTGATAGGATTGACTTTTTAAAAATATAAAATGGGTTGAAGTTTGTTCCATGGTTTCCTCCTCTGGCAAGAACAGACCTTGTTCTACCTTATCCCTGGAGTTTGGTCTTCTCTCTTCAGGTTACTGTTCAGCTCTTCTAGCTGGGTCAAATTTTAGTTCATAAGAGAAACTAGTCCTTTAACTTTAGGTTTTACAGCTTGTTTTGCAACACAAAAGATAGACCTATGGGGGGGGGAAGCACACAAGACATTATCAAAATAATGGTTCTTTACCTTGGCAAGTTCCTTTCTTAGTTCTTCCTGCTCTTCCTCTGACAGGGTCTCTGCAGCACTGATTGTAGCGGCAGCATCTTCCCCTTCTTCAGGTACTTGGTCCGTTTTCAGTAGACCTTAATAGTGTTTTTAAAAATGCAAAAAATAGATTTGTAAAACTGAGCTTCTTGGAGGTAAAAATTGTGCTACTGGGCTCCTGAACTCCAAGCAAAAGGACTAGAATAAAGATAGCCAGATTAGGAATTTGCCCTCTTCCCATTTAGTACCAGAACACTGGCAAATACCTGTGCCCACAATAAAATTTTCCTGATGCTCAACAGACCTGGTTTCTGTTGGGGCATTCTGACAAGATGGTCTTGCCTCTGAAAACTTTCAGTTGACTTAGATGACTACCAAAATCAAACAGCATATGATAATAACAACATTAACAATTCTCATATAACAAAATGTATATATTTGCATTGCTAAAATGCAGGACCTAAACAATAAATGTTATGGCAAAATATGAGAGGCAGAAAATTTTATTTTAGCTAAAAAATAACAGGAAAGGCTTTCTTGAGAAGATGATAAAGAGCTAGGCTTTGAAGACTGGGAAGGATTTGAATTAGCGATTTTTTTTCTGTAAAAAAATAAACCATGATGTCAGAGGAAGGAAAGACTAGCGGATTTGGAGACAGAGAACCTGGGTTCATATTTCAGCTGTGAGCAAGTCATTTAACTTCCATGGGCCTCACAGTCTCATCATTCGAAGGGGCTGGAACAGATAACATTTAAGGTCCATTCCACTCTACAAATACGATTAATTTTTCTTCTGAGCAACTGAATTCCTTTATATGTTTCTTCATTGGTTCTTATTTTACATCCACCTCTTTTCTGTGTTTTCCAAGTGTGCTGTCCAGAACTGCCCAGAAAGCTACTCCAGAAAGCAGATGGACACTGCTGAGGGTTTTTACATTAATAGAGGTTTTGTTTTTGCTTTAGGAGAAAAGGTTAGATTACTGATGATATAAATTCCCTTTAGCTATCAATGTAAATAAAGGACCTAAAGATGCTACAAAGAACACAAAGGCAGAACTGTCCGTAATTTGACTGATCACACCAAGAATGAACCCAAGATTATATGCTAAAGGTCTAGGAGATAAAACTCAGTAATGTCAGACTCTGTCTTTTCCATGTTAACCATGAGGTGGCAGCAAATCACCAAAAATATAGCCATTTAAAGGCAAGGAGGAAGTGGTGAAACAGATCAAACATCCAAGTAAAAACTGAAAGACCACCTAGGCTAAATGTCATCAGGTAGTGAACACAGGCAAAAGGAGCTGACAGAAGCTGAGTGTTTGTGGGATACCCAGAGACAAAAAGACATTTCTGTACCTGAGGCAAGCACCCCAAACTATGTACCTTCACAGCTAAGGGGGAGACTGAGACCCCAGGACACCAATCTATCTGATCACTGCTGGGGAGGCTGCTCATTCCCCAAAGGAAGTGAGCGATCAACTTACCTTGGACCCAACCTATCTTTCCAGCCTCCTTATTCATTACTATCTTTCCTACACTCTACAATCCAGCCAAACTGGCCTTCTCTATGTTCCTTACACACAGTGTTCCATCTCCCACCCCCATGTCTTGTCACTGGCCATCCCCCATGCCTGTGGAATGCCCTCCCTTCTTGCCTTACACTCACAGAATCTCTCACCTCCTTCAAGTCACATCTCAAGCTTTTCCTGATGTCCCATGACTGCTAGTGCCTTCCCTCCCAAAACGTCTTTGTGTTTTGTTTAGTATTTTTTCTGTATACACATATGGATTATCCCCCAACAATATGTAAGCTCCCTGAGAGCAAAAACTGTTTCATCTTTCACCTTTGCATCCCCAGCGCCGAGCACAATGTCTGACACACAGTAGAAGCTTTAAAATGCTTACCGATTCTCATTTTCACTAATTATTCTTAATAACCAGGAACCAAGGTCAGTTGTTTCTTCAAAGAGATGTCAAAGGTAAGATAAGAGTCAGCATGAGGCAGTATGCAAAGGTTTAGATTTGGAGTCAGGAAGACCTAAGATCAAATCCCACCTCTGAATATTGCGTAGACACATAAATAACCTAGGAAAAGGTAGTTAGCTTCTGAGTCTCAGTTTCCTCATTTGTTAAATGGGGCCACTGGAGGATAATCTGTTTAAAGCACTTTGCAAACACTAATAGAGCTGTCATTTTTCTTATTATTCATCATCATCTAAGAACCCTCACTACTGGGAGTTGAAGTAAAGTAGTAGCAATGAAAACAAAACAGATGCTTTGGGGGTTAAGGCACAGAAGGGAGTGGAAGAGCCCAAAGCAGGCCTTTAGGCCAACATCATACCAACCAAGAGAAAAATAAAACCTCTGATGTATCATGAGAGGGCAAGAAGAACTTTATGAATAATCTAATCCAACTCTTTCAATTTATAGGAGGCAAATGAAGTACCAGAGCTGGAAAGCAATTTGCTCAGGGTCACAGAGAAAGGTCAGCTTAATTCTGAGGCTGAGCTAAGACAGGTCAAATCCCAGATATCCTTGGAGACCATTCTGTCCAATACTCTCATCTTAGAGAAGGCAAATAAGGCCAAGTTAGTGACCCAGACCTCCTGACTCCTAGTATTTTTTAGCAATGTTGTATAAATTTAGCATTCCTCATGGGCACTGACCTTTCCAAAGCACCAGCAACCACGGGTGAATAACTGGGCAGGTGAGTTGGCCCTCACATCCTTTCAGGTGCACTGAGGATTCTATCTCCCCTGACTCCCTCCCACTGGGCTCCTGTGGTCAGAAAAGCTTGCGAATGACAAGAACAACAAGCCTTCACGTGACACATTTTTTGGGGGGGGGCCTAGGCAATGGGGTTAAGTGACTTGCCCAGAGTCACATAGCTAGTGAGTGTTTTGTCTGAGGCCACATTTGAACTTAGATCCTCCTGACTTCAGGGCCAGTGCTCTATCCACTGCACCGCATAGCTGCCCCCACTTAACACTTTAAAGTCTGCAAAGCACTTTTACATGATTATCTCATTTGACAAAAGCAAGGGAGAACAAAACTTTGAGAAAGAAAAGGTCCCTTGAATGGGGAAATGCAAAGGTATTCCCCCAAAAGGCATGTCTTCCAGTAGAGCCTGAGGCTGTCTCCCTTCCCTTGTTTTGCTGGAAGGATTCCCTCTTTTTCTTTTTTTAAGGCGACTGGGGTTAAGTGACTTGCCCAGGGTTACACAGCTAGTGTCAAGTGTTTGATCTGAGGCCGGATTTGAACTCAGGTCCTCCTGACTTCAGGGCCAGTGCTCTATCCACTGCGCCACCTAGCTGCCCCACTGGAAGGATTACCTCTTAATGGGGAAAATCCACTTTCCAGACTACTACTAGTCCTCTAACCACAGAAAAAAACATGTAAAATGACTCCTAAAGAGTCGTTGCTGTTGTTAGTACTAAAGGGACTGCCTCATTGGACCAGAGCTACTCTTGCCTTCTTAGCCCTAGGCCAAGCCAAAGCCTGAGTCCTACCAGCCAAGGCCTCTCTGCCTTCTGTCCCTCTCCAGCCTCTTTTACCTAACAGACTCTGAAGTCAGAAGCAGCAGTGCTAGAGATGAAATGCCCTCCCAAAGAGACCTACTCCTAACCTCCTTTCATCTTCTATGACTGGTTGGTTCTCCTCCCCTCTTCCTAGGGGGAAGACAAGAGCTTCAGGAGACCTTTTAATTACCCATCCTAGGACAAAGGTTTGACTGCCCAACCTAGTTCATATTCTAGAAATACTCATCAACCAATGAAAATGAGGGTTCTCCCTTATACACTAAAACAGAAGGAATGCATCAGAAGCAACATCAAAATTAACTAAAATTCCTAAACACGGCTTTCTGAACTTTTCTTTTTCTTTTTGAAGATTTTATCCCTACCTTTTACATCCCCTCCCAAAAAAGTAGTCCTTGTTATTTGAACAATCCTGGATCAAAGTTAGTTATTATTAGGGGCAAATAGGTGGCACAGTGGATGAAGCACTGGACCTGGAGTCTAGAAGACTCAAATTCAAATCAGGTTTCAGACACTTAGTAATAACTCTGTAACTCTGGGCAAGTCACTTAACCTCTGTTTGCTTCAGTTTCCTCATCTATAAAGTGGGGATAACAGCACCTATCTCCCAGGGTTGTTGTGAGGATCAAATAAAATATTTGTACACAGTGCCTGTCACATAGTTAGACCCTATATAAATGTTAGCCCAACCTAGTATGGCAGCTATGTAATTTGGCTGTACCAGGAAGACAGGCAGCTTGCCTTCTACAGCCAGTGAAAAAATGTTCCCCTTCCTTAACGTGTAAAGTCAGAGAAAAAGGAACAAGGAGAAAGATTCATGAGCAATATGAGCAAGTTATAAATGTAAGTGGGCATTGGTCCACTCTTTGTTTCCTTTGGAAACTGTATTTCCTGGAAGCCAGTGCAGATCTCAACAGCAGAAATTAAGAACAACTAGTTCAAAGGAAAATAATCCCCCAAATGGGTATAGACATGGACTAAGAGAGAGAAAAGAAATACGCGGAAACCCTAACGAGGACCTAGCTCTGAGTTCCTGATTGTCTGGTTGTTATTTTGGGAAACAACAATTTTCTCTACTCCCCTCCCATTCCCTGACAGACACCCTTACATGAATGCCCTAGCCCTCAGGCCCAAGTCAAAGACAAAAACAAAACCCAAACCCAGAACATCCAATAATGCTGCTGGTAATGCTAATTTAGCACCCTGTCATGAATAATTTGAGGTATTTTCCTTCCCCTTTATTGTATAGAATAGAATATGCCTTCAGTGGTTAGTAAGGAACTGAGGCCCACATTCCCCCAAGAGATATATATGTAGCTTTGGGAAGTTGGTGGGGTGAGTATACTTGATGATTGATTTAACTCCTAGTTATTTGCACTGTATTCTATTTTAAATAAAGATCCTTTGTTTTCCTAGTATATAAGGTAATTTATTCCTCTTGGGAAGAAGAGACTCAAGGGAAATGGGGGCTCATGCACTGTGGGTTGAGATAGATTGAGCATATCATAGACCTGGTTTCAACTTTCATAGTAGTAAAGAGAGGCAAGGAGCAGGGGAAAGAA